ATACCCAAATCCCAGTAATTAAGTCTTTTGAATTCCGTGTGTCAGGCACTAAGAAAATGCACAGTGTGCACACAAATCAATACAATCCTTGTTTCAACAATAAACAAAAACAACGATTCACTCAGGTCTTACAGGCAGACACCCGAACATAGCAGATTACTTTTGCTCAGCCAACTTCTCACTTTCCGAAATCTTGCGAAGAAGTTCAGTCCTCTTAGCGTGTTGTCGCTCTTCTCTTCTCTTTCGTGCTTCTTTGTTCTTATCACGTCGAGCCTGTGCCTGATCTCTGCAAAAAGGGTCAGTCTGAGTATGCCTCGTATTTCTTGGATGGTCAATGTATACTTACGCAAGCTGCTTGGCCCGCTTATTCTCACTCTTCTTTCGGAAAATGTACTCCATCAGATGCTTCTTGTTCTTGAAGTTGTTACCCTTCGCGCGTAGGTACAACTCGTGATAAAGGGTCCTGTCAATCTTTTTTGACTCACGGTATCTTTTGAGCAAATTACGAAGCACGCGCATGCGTCTCATCCAAAGAACTTTCTCAGGCATGCGAGCATTCTTCGTACCATGCCTTTTACCGTAACCAGAATGTCGCCCCTACGAAAAAAAGGCTAAAGAAAGTGTGTAATACTATGACGAGCAAATGACAAAACATACCTTTCGCCGAGCCTCTTCATACAGACGTGCACGATAGCGAGAATGCACAACTTCTGGCTTACGAATAATCAGACCATCTTTGATCAAACGACGAATGTTCTGCCTCGAGTTGGCGTTAGAAATTTCACTGACTTCATTCGGGTCAAGCCATATCTTGTTCTTGCCGCATTTCATAACAGAAGCAGCGAGACGCTTCTGGAGACGCAGGTTGCTGAAATCACTACACTCATGCGCTCGAAAGCCCCCAGCAATGCGGACGCGTCGCCCCATGAAATGTTTTGTCCGCCCGGGTCGAAACAAATTTTAGGGATGGTGGATTTACAAGAATAGCAGCGGCTCTTACTGAAGCAGGTACTTCTCTCCGCCATCCTTCGCAATATGAATTGTTAGATAATGCCGGAGCGTCATTATGCAACGTTCGCACTGGTTATGTACTGTAGCTAACGTCAGCGCCGTCTAGTGCAAAAATTTTCTGATGGCTATTCCTAGTAGTCTTATGTCAAAATAATGCAGAAGCTTTATTCTGACATAAGACTACTAGGATAGCAGCATAGAGAGCCGAGCTCCGAAGCTCGAACATGTTTTACTACAAACACCAAACTATTTGCCCGCAAATGTATTTGAATAGAGGACAGTGGTTTAGCAAATTATGTTCTAGTGACAACATAATACAACATTAAATCAACAATTTGATATAGGGCAACTGAAATCTAAGCATTCCACAAAATTTCATGTCTTGGTA